GTCGGCTCGGGGGGGAATCAGGACACAGTCTGCAGCCACCAATTCCCTTCATGAGCTCTGCATCCCAGCAACCGCAGAGGAAAAGTACAGTGAAAACTCCCCGTCCTCCCCGACTTCCTTGAGAAAACCCAACAGGCCGTTCGCAAGAGGGCCTATCACACCATGTGATTTTTGGCTTCACACAGACTTTCCCAAACAACCAAGTGAAAGATAAGTTTAAGGAGAGGCTCTGGGGTGAAGAGCCCGCCCACAGCTCTGCTGGAAAGCCTACAGCAGGCCACCCTCATCCTCAGGAGCCCCATCACCCTGAGTCTGTCCCCTGCCACGCAGCCAGGAACCTAGAGCCCCGCCAGGGAGGGAGCAGGGCAGCAGCCGTAGGCAAGGCCCGAGGCATGCAGAGGGGAGGAAAGGACTTGAACGGGGAGTCACAAAGATGCAGGGGAGAGAATAGAAAGACATGGACCCGCTCTGCAGTTCTGAATCATCACTGGGGAGCAGACAGAGGGCAGGCCAGCCTTGGGCAATAGAAGAAATGAGAAGGAGACACTTGCTCATCAGGGCTACGCGTTCGGCTGGCAAGAGCATGGAGGCTCCAGGAGGCTTTCCAGGCAGCACTGTCAGAAGCCCGGAGGGCCTCTTGGAGGGAAAAACAACTACGTCTCAGAGCATCTGGTACTTGCCAGGCCCTGACTCTTCATGGTAGTTCCCATAATGTTACCTCACTTGTCTCTAAAGCCCAGAACCCCTAAGAAGCTGATCTGAGGACAGAACATGACCCCAGGTTCATCTCCATTCGCCAGGACAAACATTGAACACCCACTATGTGTCAGCCAACACACTGGGTGCATCTGGAGGCAATCCCTTTCTTCCTTCCCATAAGCTCCCGGTTCTGCCTGCTCCCATCGTCCCCACCCCACTGCCACCACTGGCTCTGTCTCTAGGAGCTCATTTCCCACCAGATACACTTTCCCCCCTTTCTTTGTGATTTCTACCAGTAATTTTTATTTTAAGGATTTTTTCCCTTCTAAGCACTGCGGGAAACCTACAAGGGAACAAAGTTACCATCAGAAAGAAGTGCCAGTGGGCCGGCCCCGTGGCTTAGCGGTTAAGTGCGTGCGCTCCGATGCTGGCGGCCAGGGTTCAGATCCCGGACGCCCGGGCACACACCGACGCACGGCTTCTCCAGCCATGCTGAGGCCGCGTCCCACATACAGCAACTACAAGGATGTGCAGCTATGACATACAACTATCTACTGGGGCTTTGGGGGAAATAAATAAATAAATAAAGTGCCAGCAAACCTCACAGAGTTCTCCTAAGATATAGGAGTCCCTATCTTCCCTGCAGAGTACAGGGGCTAGGCCCATCTCCCCCCACCCCATCCCAGAGAGTCACAGGACCCTCCCCATCCGTGAGCCAGTCCCTCCCAGAGCAGGCAGGTTGGATGCTGGACCACTCGACTCAGGTAGGCCTGCTGCAATGTGAGTCACCTCCCCCCAGCTTTTTCCAGAACCTGCTTCCTGGTCTTCGCTCTGGCCTCCTGGGTCCTCTAGATGAGGGAGGCTCTTCCCTGTGTGTCCCCCAGAGCTCCCCCAGGCACTGGATTGGTAGAAGCCTCCCTTGTCTCTCCTTGAGGGTCTGCAGTCCTGGGAGGCAAGAACACTCCAGAAGCAGACGCCAGTGTAGAAGGGGAGGGGCAGCCATGTACTGCAGAGTAGTCCACTGTGTGGATGTATCGGAATTACTTAACCTGTCGCCTTATTAGTGGCCCTTCAAGTTATTTGCAATAATGCAGCAAAAGCCTTGTATCCATGTCATAGTGCATGCGTGTAGGTACGTGTGTAGGATAAATTTCTAGAAGGAGTATCACTGGGTCAGAGAGTTTGTACACTTGCAATAGTTATACCAGATTGTCCTCTAGAGAGTTATACTAACTTCTCTTTCCACAAGTACTGTATGTTCGCAGACAGGTCAATTATAATTTCATGCCATGTCCCCTTTGGCAAGAGGGATGTGTGGGGTAGGGGGATCCGCCTTCCCCTCACTCTCACCTTTTCCAGTGTGTGCACTAGCGTAGCTTGCAGATGGCAGCCTCTCGGGGTTGGCCTTTTCCTGCCTGCAGCCTCTCCCAGCTAGGTGGGTTTTCTCCCTGCCTCCCAAAGTATCTTTGTTAACAAATACTTCAAGGGCTTACTGTGTGCGGGGCACTGTGGCAGGGGCTGGGGAAAACAGTGGACAAAACAGAGGCCCTGGCCTCATGGAGCTTGCCTTCTAGTAGGAAGAGACAGATGACAAGTAGCTAATATGTCGGGGGTGAGATCTGCTATACAGAGCAGTAAGCCAGGAGGTGAGCGGGGCGATCAATTACACCCAGGATGGTCAGGGAAGCCCGGGCCGATGAGATGATGTTGGGGCAGAGCCCTGAATCAAGTAAGGGAGAGATGTCTGTGGGTATGTGGTGGCTGAGAATTCCCAGATGACAAGAGCACAAAGGCTCAGAATCAGAAATGTGTCAATGGGTAGAGCACGCACACGGATGGCCGTCAACGCCTGTCACTTTGCGCCATCCACACCGTTCCCTCCCCTGGATTGTCCCTTGCTCTCCGCCTGCTTTTCATTTGAGCAGCTCAGGGTCTACCTCTGCTCGTTCAAAATGATTTCTTTTCTGCGTGTCTACTGCGAACCCGGTTCTGACCGAGGTGCAAAGAAGAAGGAGGTCTGGTCCCTGAGAGCGTCTCTGGCCAATGCAGCCAGCACCGACCTGTCCCCTGGACTCCTGCGGCCTTGACGGCCTGCATGCTCAGTGGGCATTTAGCAAAGACTGCCCTGGATCTTCAGCCCTCCAGAAGCGGATGCTTGTGACTCCTGTAGGAGGGCCCCTGGGCCGGTGGGTGGATGCAACATGACAGGAGAAGGGCAGGGGGTAAGAGGATGTGTGGAATTTGGATTTTGAGCCAGCAGTGGGAACAGTCGCCCTGGGCTGTGTGCGATTCACCTCTCCTTGAACACGTCACGCCCGGGTCAAGAATCTTGACTCCAGGTCTCCGTCAGTGGATAAGGAAACTGACCCAAAAGTGCCTTCCTCTTGTGCTCTCCTCACCCTCCACACTTCCTTTAAAACAAAAACCAAAAAACAATGCATCAATTATATCCAACATTTAGCAAATCCCTCTGGTTGCCAGGAGCTGTGCTGGGTGTTAAAGGGCGACAAAGATGTATGTGACACTGGCCCTGCCTTCGGGAAGCCAGCAGTTCACAATGGAAAGTGTCTCTTCACTTGTGTGGAATCTGAGTGGGTGGGAAAGCCGGGGAGCGCTCACTGGAGTGAGAAGCAGGAGAGGGCACCATGAACTGGGCAATCTGGAAGTCTCCAAGGAAAGCTGGGAGGTGGCCTGGGCCCTGAAGGATAGGGAAGTGTGCAGGGCTGAAGGGGAGGGCTCCAGGGGATGGAGAAGTCACCGGGAGCAGGTGATCTAGATGTGGGGTCATCGGATGGATGTGGTGATCCACGTACAGGGGATGGGGTAGAGACGGAACTGAGGTGGATTTAGGGGTTGGGAGGAGAAGCCCTAGCCAGCAAAGGGAACAGGGGAGGAAGGGTCAGTGGAGTGTGGGGAGAACAGGATGTTAGAGCTTCTCTGAAGCTGTGCCTGGAGGAGGTTTTTACTGGGAGTTCAAGAAAAAATGAATTTTTTTAAAAAGCAGAAAATAATAAATGTTGGCAAGGACGTGGAAAAATCAGAACGCTCAGACGTTGCTGGAGGGAATGTAAAATGGCGCAGCCACTGTAAAAAACAGTTTGTCAGTTCCTCAAAAGGCTGAACATGGAGTTACCACATGCCCCAGCAATTCCCCTCCTGGGGATGTATCCAAGAGAAGTGAAAACATATGCTCCCCCAAAACCTTGTACATGAGCGTTCAGAGCAGCATTGTTCATAATAGCCAAAAAGTGGAAACAACCCAAATGTCTATCAACTGTTGACAGATAAACAAGACGTGGTGTAAACATACGATGAAATATTATTCAGCCATAAAAAGGAATGAAGAACTGACACATGCTACAACGGGGGTGAACTTTAGAAACATAATGTTAAGTGGAAGAAGCCAGTCATAAAAGACCACGTATTGTATGATTCCATTTATATGAAACATCCAACATAGACAAGTCTATAGAGAAAAAGGAAATTAGGGGTTGCCAGGGGATGGGGGAAAGGGGACTAACTGCTAGTGGGTACGGGTTCCTTTTGGGGAGGATGAGAATGTTCTGGCATTAGATAGTGGTGATGGTTGCACAACCTTGAATATACTAAAAGTCACTGAATTGTATACTTAAAAATGGCGAATTTGATGTTATGTGGATTATATCTCAATTTAAAAGGAGAGAGAGAGAGTGAGAGAGTGAAATGAGACAGGTAGAGGGAAGCCGGATGGGGCCGTGGCCAGTCCCAGCGCTGAGCAGCCTGGCCATGGCCTTGGTCAGGCAGCAATTCCAGCCTCTGGGGAAGTCAGTGCACCCGTGGTTTTGCAGAAGAGCGCTTTGGTTTCTGGAAGTCCTCCTATAGCCAGGGCCCAGGAACGCCTGAGACCGTGGCTGAGCCTCCCCTCACCCATCAGAGCATCTTTCAGCTAATTTCATTTCTCCAAGGATTTTCGCTCACCAGTTGTTAACAGCTGATGATCTCAGCATACTTGCCGCCGCCTTCAAACCCACCTGCAGCCTTGCTCTGCCATGGCCTCTAACTGCAGCCCTCTGCCCTGACCAGGGCGCCCAGACTCCATGACCACGGTGGTCCTCCAGCTGCTTAAATCCCATCCGAGAACTCACTGCTTCCTGGTGCAGTGTTCCTGCCGCCCTCTGACCTTCGTGGGCTCTCTCTCTGGCCTGCCCCTTGGAGATGCTTGTTCCAGGCTGCACCAGGACCAGATCTGGGTGGACCAGCTGCAGGGGGCCAGGAGCTGGTACACAGCCCCTAAGTGGTGTTCTCTGCCCCTGTCTTCACAGCTCCTGCAATCTCAGGATGTGAAGGAAGACGCCGTCCTGTGCTGCTCGATGGAGGTAAGCAGTGCGGCTTAGACATCTCCCACCTCAGACCCGGTGCACCCCTCCCGCCTCATGCCTCACAGCTGTAGGGGCGCGAGGACCATTAGAGGCGTCCACAAGTCCAGGGCAAGGGTGTGTCAAGAGGGTTGGTGGGGGATGGCTTCCTGAGTGGACATGGACTTCTGCATCCAGAACTGTCAACCCCAACTAGAGTACCTGTTGATGGGGAGACCAGCCCGCCGCTGGCTGGAGGGAGACGATTGCTGGTTCTCTGGAAGGAAGGACCAAGTGCTGGTCTTGTTAACTTTCCCTCTGCCCCCAAGACCCCATTCTCCTTACACCAGGCACACCACACAAATGACTTAAGAGATTCTAGGTGACCCCCTGCCCCCAAATATCTCTCTTGGCTTTGGTGGTGTGGGGTTAGGGGAAGGTGCCTGAGGCTCAAATCCCTCATGTTGGCTCTGTCTGCTTCAAAGCAGCCCCCTTGGGAGGTGCCACTCCTGTCCCCAAGGCATGGCCACTGCTCATTGAAATCCTTCCTCTGGGATCTTCCTTCAGGCACTCAGCTCTGGCCCAGTCACAGGGGCAAACCTTTGCCCTCAGAAAACAGCCCAGAGTCGTTCCAAGTGGAGTGCAGGGAGGAGGGGCTTCCACTGTGAACACCCAGGGCGTGCAAGGGCTATGGGCCCACCTCTCAGGTGGCTTCTGCCAGATGGCCTCCAGGGCCACTCCCAAGGAGCTCAGAGGCCAGACGTGCTGGGAGCCTGGACAGCAGCCTTAGGTCTGTGGGATGGTCACTCCTCCATTCATTTCTTCGGCTCCAGCTGCTTGCCTTACGTGGGACTTGGGGCAGAGGAGATGGGGGGAAAGCATGGTCCCTGCCCTCAGACAGCTTCCCGTCTGGCTAGGGATAGATCACGCACGCACGCACACACACACACACTGCGGACAGGGCAGTGTAGAGAAGTATGTACAGAGCACGCATCCCTGAGGAGTCAGGGGAGAGGTCGGGGGGCTGGGAAGGTCAAGGAAGGTTTGGGGAAGAAGGTGGAGCCTCGAAAAATGGGTGGGACGAGTCTGGGGCTGGGACAGAGATGAGGTTGGAGAATGTACAGAGAGGACCTGCAGGGGCTGCTGGCGGAGGTGGACTGATCCAGAAGATAGGGGGTCCTTCTTCCCAACAGGATCTTTTCAGGATTATCGGGGCCTCTCTCGAGGGCAGGCCCTCTGGCTGGCCTTTTCCCCCAGTTCTTATTTCTCGCCTTCCCTTCGTGTCACAAGTGTGGGCAGAGGTCAGTGCTGGGAGCGGGGAGGTGGGATTGGGGCAAGAGAGAGGAAAAGAGAGAAATAGGAGAACTCATCCCTGCTCTCAAGTTCCACGTGGACACACGCAGGTAATAATGACTAAGCTCGTTTCCAGAGAGACAGCCTAGCAAGGGAAAATTAACAGGGTGCAGCCTGATCACCTTTGAAGGGAGCAGGTCACACAGTCATTGAGGGTGTGGGTGGTAGTCAGGGAAGGCTTCTTGTAGGAGGGGAGGCAAGAGGGTGAAAGGGAGAAGTGGCATGTTCCTGGTGAGGCTCTTTTCAGCCCTGGACAGCAGGCAATATCCTGATCGCTCTTTTCTCTGCCGGCAGATTGGGTGTTAAATGTGGGCTCTCATGGTTGGCTATTTCCACCCTCCCTACTCCCTGTCCTTGTCCCCTGGCACAGAGGCCTGGGCCTGCACTTTCCTGAGATAATCCAGCTATTTCCTGTCCCTGCCCCCAGCCCACCTGACCAAGGTAGGTCAGGAGCCCTTGTGCGACCCCAGTCCTAACTGCCCCCTTCTCTGTCTGCAGCTGCAGAGCACAGGCCGGCTGCTGGAGGAGCAGCTGCCCGAGATGATGACCGAGCTCCTGGCCAGCGCCCGTGACAAGATGCTATGCCCCTCGGAGTCGATGCTGACCCGGTCACTACTCCTAGAGGTCATCGAGCTCCATGCCAACAGCTGGAACCCTCTGACGCCCCCCATCACGCAGTACTACAACAGAACCATCCAGAAACTGACAGCCTGACAGCCAGGGGGCCTGGCGGGCGGCCCGCGGGCAGCTGGGGCCCTGGTGCACAGGGCCAGATGGACAGGCGGGAGGACAGGGGTGGCCCTGGCGGGAGAAAGAAATGGGGAGGAAGGCAGGCAGAGCCGGCGGCCAGTCTGGAGCCAGACGGGGAAGGGATCAAATCCCTAGGAGGCGCGCCCCCCCCAGCCGAGCCCCCCCAGCCCCGAGCATGCGGCAGCTCACACCAATAAGGGAAGCATGTGTCTTTTTCCTGGTGGCCCCGGCCCTCACCCCTCCTTACTCCCTCTCCTCCCCACCCCCTCCCATCAAACGCGTCCCCCGCAGGGCTTTGTGTAAGGGTTTCATCTCCATGACTCCTCCGAGGCCTCGGCAGCCCTGCGCGCCGGGATACCGCTTGGGTCAGAAAGGACCTCAGAAGGCTGAAAAAGTGGGTCGGAGACGGGCTTGCATTGTTCTCGCATGCTGTCAGCCGCAGTCGCCAACTGGCAGCAGGGGACGTGTAGCAGATGTCCAGGAGGACAAAGGCAGGCACGGTCCCCACCAGCCGCCCGTAATTGACGGCCTTTGTCCGCCACGGTCGAGCTGGGGGACAGGGGCTGTCTCCTCTAACCTTCACACTCCACCCTCCTTACGTCCAGTTCCTCCTCGCTCAGCCCCCACGCTCAGGCCTCGGGGGTCGGGAGCAGAGAGGGGAGCTGGAGTTTGCAGTTCTACTGGCCCTCTTTTGTTTTGTTTTATTTTTCCGAAGTCAGCTGCTTTGAAGTCTCCTCTCTCGGTGAAAAGAGCCCGCAGTGTGATCACAGTCAGCCCCACGAGGACCCCCTGATTAGTGGGAGATCAAATCCAGCCCCCTCTGGAAGGATTCTAGCCACAGACAGCTTGCCAGTAGCCAATTAGAGTAATTGGAAACTTGTGCCCCGGCAGGGGTCCCCACTGGAACCCCTGCTCCTCACCCCCTGGCTTCTTGGACCTCTGTTCTCTCTTCTTCTAACTATGCTCTCAAAGGGCTGATACCGTCGCCGCTGGGAGTGCACTAAACCCTGTCCTGGCCCAGCGCCTTCTGGTGAACTGGGCACAGAACAGGGCTGGCAAATTAGAACCAAAACACTAGGTGATGTTTCCTGCTCCACACGCGGGTCTTGTCCCAAGCTCTTACTAGGGCGAGAGTGGGGGTGGGGGCTGCCTGGATCCCCAGGGCTTGGAGTTTAGCTAAATGGGCTGTGTCGCTGCCCTAGCCTCGTCACAGGCGGGATCTAGAAGCCCAGACCTCCCACAAGGTCTCCCAAGGTCTGTGCCCCAGGAGGGCTCTGGACACTGCAACCCCAGGGCTGTCGGGAAAGGGTGCATTCACTGAGTCGTGAGCAGGCTCTCAGGTGACCCAGCTGGCCACCAGCTTTCCAGGCTGGGAACGAAGCTGGGGTTTCTTGGAAGGGCCAGGTCCTGGGGAGCAGCCCCTTCTCAGATGGCTAGAGAGGAGGATGCAGGGCGGTCCCTGGGAGGCTGGCTTTGGGTTGTCACTGGCGTCTGCACAGCCCCATCTCCAGGTCTGGAGCCCCCACTTTGATGACCCCCCAGAAAATGACCTCAGAGCCCAGCAGCTTCCTTGTTTGTTCCTTTGTTGAGGCCAGTCACTCTCTGGGTCACCTTGGAGGCCCCCCTGGCTGCTTGGCCAGTCCAGTCAGGCTGGCCAGCAGGTGAAGGCTGGAGGAGGTTTCCCTTTGGTGACCCTGAGTCTGGGAGACGGGGCAGTGGGGCGTGGGGAGCAGGTTCCTCAGTCTCCCCTGGCTCTCCCCATCAGCTGCAACCTGCCTTCCAGGCCCAGAGCAGCAGCCTATGCCAGTCCCCAAAAAGAGCCTACTGGGGGCAAGGCGTGGGGGCACAGGTTTGCCTGGAATGGGTCTGTACCCTCTGCCAAGAAGCCCGTGCTGCCCCTGGCCCTGGCTTTACCTTCTCCCTTTCTCCTCCCAGGCTTCTCCTCACTGCCTTTCCTCCTCAGCCTGCACCTTCGGCCCAGCCTGGGTCCCAGAGCCACCACAGGCCCCACAGGAGACCTCGAGGGAAGAGCTGGGCTGAGGTTAGGATGCTCAGAGAGGGCACCGGGGAAATCATGGTCTCTAGGAGTCAGGCAAGCAGCCCTCAGAGAGCCACACCTGTGCTGAAATCGGCCTTGTTTCCCTCAAGTGGGGGGGGGTGTGCGTGTGCATGAGTGTGTGTGTGTGTGTGTGAGCACATTTGCTAAGAACAAAGCAGGGCCCGAAAGAAGGGAGAGGCCCAGGAGAGGGGCACAAGCCGAGGAGGCGGGGAGTGGGGTCTCCCACCCCGACCTTGGGCTCAGAGAACGTGCTTTGTGAAGGGGCCCCAGATCGAAGGTGCTCAGGGGGCTGATGTGCCCTGGAAAGCCGAGACAGGTGGGCACCATGGGCCTAATGCCCCTCCTCGTCAGGGCCCTCCGTGGTGGTCCTGCCTCAGGGCCGACCCCTCCTCGACTGTTAGGACCAGAGTGTGAAGAAGTGAGATATAAATATGTATACATATATAAATATATTTTTAATTACGTGTCGTGTCACGGTGGCTCCAGACATATGGTTTGCCTAGTTTATTCCGTTGCTTGAAAGCGCTTCCTGGCCAATCCGAATAACAATTTAAGCTGTTTTTCTAAATGCAGGTTGCTGCTACTTTTTCAGACGTGGAAGGAAAACGTTTAAAAAAAAAAAAAAATTTTTTTTTTTAAGGACATAACATTAAGGCCTAAAATCTGAGACTCTGAGGCAGCTTCCCATGGAAGAGTACCCGGACAGGAACTGGGGGGCAGAAGTGAGAGCCCCACAGGCCTCCACCTCCCCCCAGGGCCAGACATCCCCTCTGCTGAGTGAGGCTGGCCCTATCCAGGTGACCTCTGAATGTATTTGATGGGAGGCTGAACTGGGTATTGCATTTCTGAGGCTTGTGTTGTTTTCCTTGCTCGCCCGCGGCTTTCTTGGCGTGTTGAAGAGGCAAAGTCCGGCCATCTGATGTTGATCCTGTCTCAGTCTCTCCCCTGCCAGTCAAGTCGAGGTAGTCATTGTTTTCCTCCCAGGCAGCCGGCCTGCTCGCCACAGTCCTACTTGCCACGGCCTTGTGGCTTTGCCTAAGCGCTGGGACTGCAGCCCCATGAAGGCTCCCGGCCTCCCCTGGACAAGGCGGGAGCCCTACCATCCTCCCTGGAAGTGTGCACCCCCAAACCCAGTTTCGTCTGTTCGTCCTTCCTTAACCAGTCTGTAAACCTTTAAGGTTTGGGGATTGTTCTGTCCATCCATGTAAATGTAAATGTCGGCCAAGTCGGTATTTATTCTAATTTTTATTTTATTTTATTTTCTCTGAGGGAGTGGGAGGGGGGGTGTGGGAAATGTACCGCTGATCACACCCTGGGCAGCTGCAGGGGTGGGGACCGAGACAGCCAGGCCGCCATGAGGAGCAGCCCCATGGGGCCGCCCTAGACGCCAAGTCCCAGCCTCTTATCTGGCATCAGAAACCGGCCAGTGTTCCTCGCGTGACAGACTCTCGGGGCCTGCTCGTGGAGGCCTGTCCCTCAGCTGCTGGGCGCTCTGTTGGGAAACCTCTGTCTGGGCCTGTGAGGACGCAGATCAGAGAGAAGACAGCTTTCCTTTGCTCGGGACACTTGCACAGAAGGGCCGCCCGACTCGCCTGAGCCAGCTGGGAACCTGGTGGCAGGACCTACCTCCCTGGAGCAGGGGCCTGAGGCTGCCCGCCAAAGCTGCAGTGGAATCCTGCTCACGCGACCACCTTCCCTCCCTCGGTATGTCCTGCTTTCCAGCCAAACCCAAACTACAAGTGGGTTTAAAAAATAAACAACACCAAAAAACAAAAATGCCCTGAATCCACATTCTTTGTGTGTTTGGCAAAGGAAATCTCTCCCAAAGGCTTTGGTACCTCAGCTGGTGCCGGCAGAGCCCTCAGAGGAGCCCCTGCCCAAGTGATGAGCTAATGAGAAGATTCCCTGCTGTTTGGCCACTGTGGGGAGCAGGGGGCAAGGTCTGGACCTGGGGAAGGTTGTGAAGGAGTCTTCCAGGAGAATGTGGGTGGAAGAGAGTTATGTCCCCCAAGCTGGAAACTATGGCCTGCCCAAGGTGGTAGGATTAAACCAGTCCTGCAGAAAATGGCTTTCACACTAAAGATTTGGTTCGTTGCATGTTTAACACCACCACTCCCCACCCCAAACCTACCCCTTCCCTGGAAATGTTGCTGTGGCATTTGGCAATGACTCATTTAAGAAGACTGAGGGCCGGCCCCGTGCTGTAGTGGTTAAGTGTGCGCGCTCTGCTGCTGGCAGCCCGGGTTCAGATCCCGGGCGCGCACCAATGCACCGCTTGTCAGGCCATGCTGTGGCGGGGTCCCACATAAAGTGGAGGAGGATGGGCACAGATGTTAGCTCAGGGCCAGTCTTCCTCACAAAAAAAAAAAAAAAGAAGAAGAAGACTGAGACTTGGGCCTAGCAATTTCTAAAAGTCAGCAGCAAGTGGCTGTCCGGTCCCGGTGGGTCAAATCAGTCTTTACTCAAAGGAGCCCAGTGATCCAGTTTCCTGTGATGACACGTCCCTTGTTTTGCACAATCCCTCCCATGGCAAGACACGGGGGACACTGCCTCCTGGTAACAGATGCCCCTCGGGGATTCTTTCTGGCTAGAACTTGCCAGGCTCTCAGCTCCTCAGGTGGCAACTGGAGCATCCACCCCCCTTCATACTTCCCTGACCCAGCCAAGACGACGGCCACACCAGCCCAGGAGCCTGGAGAGGGCATTGCCCATTACTGGGCCCCAGGACACTCCAGAGGGATGGCCAAAAGCACATAGATTGGTCAAGGGTGATAGCATTTTAATTAAATAATTGAGATATTTGTCAAGCCAAAGTTTTTTTATAAAAATGCAAAAGGAGTAGGAGCAGAAAGTGGAAGTCAAAATGAAAGATGTTTGCAGATGGGAGAGAGGGCAGGGAAGGAGAAATGTTATCAAACACCATTCACCACGAAGGAGAGATTTTTCTGGGTGATTTAGTCCAGGTTCCGGAGGTTCTAAGTTACTGAAAACTATGAAACATGTTATTCAAATAATAAATGTTTTGGGGCCAGCCCAGTGGTGCAGCAGTTAAGTGCACGCTCTCTGCTTCAGCAGCCCCGGGTTCACAGGTTCGGATCCCGGGCGTGCACCAGTGCACCACTTGTCAAGCCATGCTGTGGTGGTGTCCCATATAAAGCAGAGGAAGATGGGCACGGATGTTAGCCCAGGGCCAATCTTCCTCCACAAAAAGAGGAGGATTGGCGTCGGATGATAGCTCAGGGCTGATCTTCCTCACAAAAAAAAAAATAATAATAATAATAAATGTTTCAATCCTGCATTTCACCACCATCTCTGCTGATATGTATTATCTGTCCTTCCAAGGGTGGGTTACATTTGTACTAGGGTCTACCGGAGGGAAGAAGGGGAAGACTATTTATTTTAGATGAATAAGCTAGAACACACACGCACACACACACACAGAACTCGTAAGGGCCTTTTAAGTACCGAGGCAAAGACAGCAGAAAAAGAAGCGATTGAGAAGGTGAAAGGGGACAAGGTGGTCATGCCCTACTGTTAACGGTCTCATTTCCACAGCTCCCAGCAGCTCCCAGGCCTTCCATACACGGTCTCAGGTGGTTCAATGAAGCAGGCAGATGACTATTTTTGATTCCCATTTCACAGATGAGAGTGGTAACACAACTGACCCAGAGCCAGAGGCCAGTCAGTGGGAGAGTCGGGCAGAGGGAGAGCCAAGTGGCCCTTCCCCTAGCCCAGAAAGCGAGCATGTCCTCAGCAGCCCCTCTCCTCTGGCTGCTGCGAGCTCGGTCCCAGGGAGCCGGACAGTCACGCCAGCCAGACAGAAGGAGCAGCCAGCTGCCCGCTGAGACGGTCATGGGCAGGCTACATGGTCTTCCCTCTGCGTCTGTGGAAAGTAGGAGCGTGATGAAATACCTCAGATCAAGGGATTCCAGTGGGGTGGGGAGGAGATGACGCGATGTTGCAAAGTCTGGTACTGTATCAAAGGATCGGCTGTAACAGGTGCA